AAATGGAAACTACTATAGTATACCTCAACTCCGCAACTCAACTGTCCACGAGTTCACGGTGCCTCTTCCTCACAGGAGCTGGGCTTTGGCCTTCTGAGCTGTGCCCAGACGCGGCAGCTTTACGGCCAAGAGGTGCTCATCCACCGCGACCAGTTCATCGATTTGAATGCAGCCTACCCATCTTCCACGACCTTCCATGAGCCTTTCGGGAGAGTTTCACGGAGTGGTGCCTGAGGTTAGCGATGGTGTACATTTCAAGGCCAGCAAGCATATGCAAGCGCTGTGCATTCCTCTGCCACTGCAGTCTTTCCAGGTAGCCCTCAATGCCAACCGACAGCCTGTTGCGCGACGAGTGCGGAAGGTGCCATGTGCAGCGAGATGCGCAGAGATGTGCAGAACAATTCTGCACGAGGCCGGTGGTGGTCCCGAGGACTCTCGGGCGGCATCTGGCATAGCGTTGCATAGCATGAGATTGAATCCAATCAATGTAGCTTTCAGGCCCTACCGCCGCAGGACTGGGGTAGCAAAGCCGCTCAAAGCGAGTTCAACTGACTTTGTGATATTTAGTGAGACTTATGTGTTCTTCGTAACTTCGTTGTCTGCAGGGCCGGTCGGAGCGGTCCCGATCCCGGAGCGTGTCGATCTCCTCGCCGCGGCGACGGAGTGGGCGGAGTGGGTTGGAAAAGTCTCCAAAGAGTCAAAGAGTCCTCACTCAATTCATTCATCATTCATCCTCTCCTTGAGCATCAGAACGCTGCTTCAGCGCACCTGCTGGCTGCCACAGGAGCCGCAGCCGGCGGCGCGACCGCAGGCAGGTGGACACCGCATGGAGCAGAGGAAAGGGATGGGAGGAAAGGGAGCGAAGGAGGGAACAGGAGAAAGAGGAAAGGGGTCGAAAGGAGGAGTGACAGGAGTGAGCGGTGCTTTGCATGCTTTGCTCACTTCGGAAATCATAAGTCATAAGTACAGTGTAACTCCTCCTTCAAATTTGATGCTTCCAAGAGATCATCTTCCTCTCACTTAAGGCTTAAGGCACTCAGCCGCAGGCGGGTCTCAGGTCATGTCGAGTCTGAGATGCTTCCAGGCGCTGATTGCAGAGCTGAAAGCCAAGCAGGACCTGAGCCGCTGAGCCCGGGAGGAAAAGAAAAAGTAAGTAGTATTTTATTTTGGGGATACTATGGTACCCAATATAGAGTAAGATTATATCCTCCTTTTGGAGTATGTATTTTATATAAGGAATATGAGGTGTCATGCTGCATCCTGGCTCAAGCTTACCAGAGATCGAACCCTTTTCCATGTTTTAGGTTGGAGTTTCCCGACCCACCTGGTGGGTCGGAGGACCTGCCCAGATCATCCTTGAACCAATGGCCGAAGCTCATCCTCTGCAAGACGAGCACGAGCACATCTCATACGGACGCACGGTGCCAATCAGAATTATTTCTGGCAGCATAGCACTGTACTGTACCCTGTAGGCTGAGATCAACCAGAAAATCGAGAAAGACGCACACCGTTCATCATGATCGCTCTGAAGCACGAACAACAACCTTGGCAGATCTGAGGTTCAACACCGGCAAAGGCGACACGAGCATGGGACAACACGGTCTGGATGGCTTTGTTCGTGCCTGTTTTCCTGGAGGCTTCTGTTTCAGAATTTGTTGAAGACACTATGAATGTTGCAATGCTGTTGCAGGGTGCCGGGGATTCCTTGTCCGGATTGGTGCTTCCAGCCACTTGGCCAGAGTCACTGCCACCAAAAAAAAGTCAAGTCTTGGAGCATCGCGGCCTAAGCTTGTCAAAATCCCAGAAGGTGCAAAACTGAGGATATGGCTGTAGTGAATTTCGCCGGCCTCGACATTTGCGCTATGGGTCAGTCGGATGCCTGTGACAAGGCCATAACGGCCACCACCGCGGCTGCTCGGTGAAGTGAGCTGGATGAAGACCATAGAGATTCAACTTGCCAAGAGACCGGAAAAGCAGCGGTCCGTTCTCTTATCACCACAAGGAAACCTGCGGAGGAAATATGGGCATACGTCGAACAAGGGAGAGGTGCTGCTATCATTGGGGGCCCTGAGGACTGACTGAGTGACTGGTGAGCACAAACTCAGGCTGGAGTTACTGTGGGAATATTGGGCTCGGTCATTACCGCCATTTGCAGCTTCTTGGATGCAAGTGCAAGCACTTCGCTACTCATAAAGCTCATGAATCTTACCCGGGCCAAGGTCCTGTGGCTGGTTACTTGGGCGACCGCTTCGGTCGTCGTCCAATGTTTCGTGGCTGGAAGTGAGAAAGTTCTGAAAGCTTTGACGAAAGCGCAGAGCATCCAGAAGTGTCGGGGTGCAGGCGCTTGCAGCAATCCTGGCCAGCTTGCCAAGCAGACCGCTCAGGCATAGGATCAGCACCGCGACCAACTCCGCCACAAAGAATCTTAAGCTTTGTTTGCTTAATTGTTTTGCCATAGCAAGTTGAGCTACTGTTTGTAAAAATGTATGCAACGGCCTCCATCTCCATGCCTGAGACGGCTTTCCAGTGGCCGCCGAATGTTGCCCAACGTCGGCAACAGCAGTATCTACAACTGCAACTCTTGCCAGCCGTAAACCATGCGCACAACCAAATAAAATGGTAGTTTCCCACCCCAAAAAGGTACACCTAATTTTAGGGAACCCCCAAATCACCAGAGTCCAGATCGACAAACGACACTGCATGGAGCCGCCTCGAGATGGCCACTGCCACTAGCAGGGTTGATGGACTGTGGAGAATTCAGAAGGGCAGTACATGAGCAAACAGAAGGAAAGGTGCTGACATTAGGACTGCTCCATGCCTGGTGCATTGTAGGAGGCTACAATCTCAGAGTAGTTTTCCATCAAATGGCAAGACAGCTGAGGCTCCTTGTCAGCATCTTTGCCAGTGAGTTTGCAACCATGGCGCGCCCCGGCAGGAAAGGGGTGCATATCAAAAGCGACTAAGTTGCTATTGGAAGACGAAGAGCTGAGTTAAGCTGATTCTTTTTGAGAGGAGCGGTGCTGCTTTGCATTATCATGCCTGGAGGTGCTGGGGAGTTTATTACTTCCAGTGGCCGTTTTACTGGTTCTATGTGGCGTCTCTAATCCCGGCGCTCATGCCGGCGCAGGCGCGAAGCAGTGCCATTCAGCGGACTTTGTAGAAAAAAAGGGAACAGACAAAGACACAGGAAGCACGCGAGAAAGTAGTTCTGAGGCACTTCTC